TAAGTCAATATAAAACCCTAAATCTAAATATTATATAAAGTCATTAACTCTAATCTTATTCATAATTTTCTTCTATTGTTCTTCTCACATATCATCAAAGGAGATTAGTATTATCAAAGGAAAGAGTTTCACGTTTCTACACGATTTAAACGTAAGTCAAAATAATTTTTATATTTACATCAAAGTTTCTTAGTTTGAAAATTAGTCAATTGAAGATTTTCTATCTACTAAGTTATGTATTGAATATCATATAAGTAGGACGTTTTTTGTGTTTTCTAAGCATGTTAGTACGTCAATTATTTTTTTTGTTTGGTATTCTATTTTTTGTTAACATAGTTTTCAATCGATGGGAAAGCGTTATAGCCATTTATGTCGCAATTTCCGTGAGATTGCATCTGTTGCTGCTGAACATGTAGAATTGACGATGGGTGCGAATGAACTGCATGTCAGTTGCTTAAAAAATTGGAGGAAAAGAAAAAGGAACTTGTGAAAGCTAATGCATGGGTGCTTCCAACTTCAAATGTTGAACATGTGGAAGGAGAAGAAGAAGACGAGGAAGTTCTTAATGCACGTGGAATTAAAAGAAAAGCTATTGTTGGACGACCAAAGAACAAAACAGTCGGATCCCATGGTCGATAATTGAATGTTCTTGAAACGAAAAAACGTGGTACATCAAAGAGAAAATTATCATTTCAGGTATTTGATCAATATTTTATATTTTTCATTTATGTCTATTTTTCACTAAAACGTGATTTTGTCAATATATGTATGTATATTAATTACAAGATAAAATCGATAAATGCTTCAGGATTCAATTTTTACTTCCGATATTCAGTCATCTGTTGCTACCACTAATTCGAACTTACAGACGGGGTCATTTTCCTCACAAGTGCTACAGGTAAATAATTTATTTATGTTATTTATATTTGAATTATATGTCAATTTGTTTTATAGTTTGCAGTCTTATATTTTGTAGGAATTCGACAAGAGTTATGGTGATTTATTATAAAGCTTTCTTGTTTTAAATATAGAGACAAAAAACATATGAAAGTGTTGAACCTCTACTATTACTTTATCTTGATTACTTGTTTTTGTTACGTTTTCTTGTTCGTGAAGAAAATGTAAAAAAAAAAAAAAAAAGTAGAAGAAAAAAAAGTAGATGAAAGAAACATAGAGAGAAACGTGAATGAAAGAGTAGTGGCTCCCACAATTAATTTGATTTTGATTTTTAATGATTTAATCTGATTATTGTTTTTAGATAATATTAATAATTTTAATTACTTTAATTAGATTAAATGATAAGTTTTGATTGGTCAATAAATGGGGGGTGAATGAGAAGGACCCAAGAATTGTTCTTTAAGTTTTTTTCACTACTTGTTGTTTGGCTTGTACTTGCAAGTATAAGTTATATTACTTGGTACTTGGCTTGACATCAACGGGTACTTGTTGTTTCAAGGCGAGTACGAAGCAAGTAACGGGTACGAGACGAATAATGAGTACTTGTGCCCAGCCCTAAAACAACCTCATCTACATAGTCGTCCCTTGAAGCTTAGGTCAAACTCTGTAGCACCAAGATTGAGAATATATATACACGTAAATGATAATCGTGTGTATGTGTATAAATATATATATAAGCAAAAAAAAAGAAAAAAAAAAAAAAGGAATATGGGATCAATCATGGTTTTATGCTCACTCTATACGTCGGCCTAACGTGGCCAAAGTGGATG